ACCTCACACAAATTAAATTTACCTAAAATCTAACCTAACTTTTAGCATTGCATTGTGATTTATAAGAACCGGATTAGCCTCATGTTGAACTGGTGATGATCATGAGTAATAATTAAATAAAACGTACAATTGTTATCCAATATATATATCTTAAATTTTATTAAGTTTCTTAAGTGGAAAAGTAAAAAAAAATATGAAACAAAGTGTACCAAGAATAATTAAGAATAAATGTCCTCTGAGATTTATTGAATAATTAAGTGAATTTCCTATACAGTACAAGTAATACCATAATTAATTTACCTCTTAGCACAGCCAACGTACATTACGCGGATAGACTGGTATTTTCTCGAAACATACCTGGTAAACCTGGAAAAGTCAGGGAATTTCATTCTCCTGTTTGAGTGGCAACCCTGTTATTACCTTACTTTTAACAGTTAGAATCGAATTATTCAGGCCAGTTATAGGAGCATTTGTTGCTTGTTTTTTCATTTGTAATATATCTGCGATTTCCTTTGGAATTAGGTTGACTTGACTGCCTGCGTTAAGAATTGCTAAAATGTTTATTATTTCTTCGTTTCGCATTTGAACCTTAATCACAAACAAAACGTGTAAGTTTTAAACAAAACGTGTAAGTTGAAACGTGTAAGTCAGTAGACAAAAACGTGTAAGTTTTTCAACCTTGGAAAGGAAACCTTTGCTCTGGCGCCGAGAAGGATTTATATTCACATTCATAACTCTTTCCGAGAAATGACTGATTTATGGAGGGAGTCGCATTTTTCGTTTCCTAACTAATCGTGGTCGGATTCAATTCACTTGAAATGTTTATTTCACTATCGTTATTCGGGGCAAAAGATGCGTTTTGAGGACGTACACCATGAGATGAATTATTATTTCTTTTCTCAAAGTGAATTAGGGTGTTATGTTTTTTACCGCACTTAGCGCATAAAAATTTTGAAGAACACTGTTTTACACTCTGGTTTAAAAAGCAGTTAAAACATAATCTTTGCTTTTTTAGAAATTCAACCCTAGCATTCACTGATATATCTTGAAATTTAAGACTTTTCTATATAATATGATTACCCAAACAGAAACTGCACTTAGATGACTTCACAGCACTTAAGACAGTGCCTTTAGAACAATGCTTTTGGTTCGTGTTCTTAGAAACTCTAGACGCTTCTAAAGTTCTTGCAGGATTTTTTAGAAATTCAATTAAGTCATTCAATTTGGGAACATTATTTTTCTTACCAAATTTGTGTTCAAACCATAATTTTGTTAAAGTATCTAATTTTTATAGCAAAACATCCGCAAACATTGTATCGGCAAGCCCATCAATTTTTTGTTCTAAAATTTCTAACGGTCTTGTACATTCAAAGGTAATGTCAACTAAATTTAGTAAAGCACTAGCATATTCACTGTGAATAGGTGGAATTGTCATAAATCGTTTAATGTGGACAAAAACTTGTTCTCGATGATTTGAAAATCTTTCTTCTAACAGTGACCAAGCAACTTCATAATTTTGATTCGAAACTGGAATTGACTTTACAACTCGCAGTGCATCGATTTAAGGGCTGATAATAAATATTGAAGCTTTTGCCCTTTTGACAAATTATCCTTGTTATGCACAGCAGCCTTAAATAAATCATTAAAAGTTATCCATTGATAAACATTACCAGTAAATGTAGGTAAACTCAATTTTGGAAGCTTTACATCTGGGGCTATTTTAGAGCAATTGTCAACACTTATTTTACCCTGTTCATTCTCAGTACTTTTCACAGAAAGTTTCACATTTAATTTATGTAAGAATGTTTTTAATCTTACTTCGATTTTTCCCAGATGAATCTTCATGTCTTCTAAATCCAATTCTGCTTCACTAATATCCACTTTTACAGACAATTCGAAGTAATCGTTTTGTAATTTGGCTATGCATCTTTTGATAGTGCACAGTTTCTAATTTTACTTCTAATTCGGTTATAATATCTTCACTTGTCGGTTCAACTACCAATTCTACAAAGGTTTCTAAATTGGTGATTTTACCCTTTTGCCTTTTCATGTTTTAACAAATTAATTTTTTCTTGCATTATTATGAACACAGGTTACACAACACAATTGCTTCGGAAGAAGAGCACACTTTCGTTTTCACGAACTCATTATTTATATGTCACTGATTCTTTTCTAACTCCGGTCCAGCACCGGCCGAGCAGTAAAGTCGCTGAACACTGGTAGTTTGGTCCGAGTTTCGAATCCCACGGATGGGCTGGTTGCATGGTTGTTTTGTGGCTTTCCTCACATGTAATGTGTATACGAGCCAGTTTCCCAGAAAGTCCTCCACGAAGGCATCCCTTCCCTTAGGCAAATAGCCCTAGTGTGCTTTGCCATAATTAAATGCACCACACCACCGAACTCCAGCTCGACGGACCATGAAAGTTCATATTATAAATCACAAGTTCTCAGTAACTCGAAAATACTTATAAAGTTTAGGACTGTAGCTTTTATTTCATATCTCTGTAATTATTTCAACACTTTCGCCACAAAGGCGGGAACACTCACTTCTCCAAAACGAGAACACACTCTGAGTTTTTCCCTTTTTGCACAGCACTGCCCTCTGGAGGCATTTTCTACATTTTACAGTTCACATATCAGGGAGGTGAGACTAAACAACAATCATGCAACCAATTACGTCATAACAGGGTTTTCATAACATTCAACTACTCAGGTTACCGTAAATGAAATAGCAACTTGGTGATAAATGAAACAACAACTTAGCGATAATCCAAGGAGCACCCTTAAATTTACTCTAACCAAAATTGTAATTAGATAATCAAACTTCATGCTGTACTTCAGATAGCAAATTTGTTCTAAAATTTTTTCATAAATTTACACTAGCAATTTCTGTTAAATCTTTTTTTTTAATTAGTGTAATAATTTGCTAAAATATTTTGGAGAATGCCAACACTCATTATTCTATCTTATCGTGCCATATTCTATCTTATCTCAAAATCTGTTTTACAGAAACTCATCAAATGTTGTGTTTATGAATTTCTATTAAAAAAATTATTTCTCGGAAAGTTAAAAGTCATCTACTTAACTGAAATGGTAACTTCACCATTATGGTCTTTGTTATGTACTGCTAATTTTCAATCATGTTTTTTGGGGGACAACACTGGTGGATATTAATAGCTAAAGAATATGATCCAGGCGCAGAGAAGCAACAAAAAAAGAAATTTTGGTATTTCATTCAAGTAAGACAGGTCTTCAGAGCAGGCGAAAAGAATGACTGATTACTGATTCAACAAGTCTGGAAAATGAATGAGTCAAGGATTAATGTGATAAGAAGAAGCCTAGGTGGTTGAGCTACTGCAGGCAATTTAGGTACATAGTTTTAAATTGTAAATGTATACGGAAAAGGAAAAATTTTATGTTTCAGTATTAATACAAGGTACATCAAATAGATAAATAGTCATAATATTAGCAGATTTTCTGCTAATATTATGATTCTTTTGCAACAAAGAAGTGTTAGATCCTGTCTTATTTGGGGTTGGGATGCCATATATTTAGAATTGTGATTTTTCTCAAAAACATAGAAATACTGAAGCTAAGTTTTATCTGAATTTAGGCAGTCTTTGGATATAATTTAAAAGTAGGGCATAGGGCATACATCTGCTGTAAAATAGTGCTCTTTGTATAAGTGGTTGCTTTAATCATGATATATGCAATTTCATTCAGATATTTCTGATATCCTATTATTAAAGGAGAAAAATGTGATTTAGAAGGTTACAGCTGAAAACATAGCGGCAAAAACATCGCAGACGAAAATGTCGTGCAGAAAACAATGCAGGGTGAAAACATCATGGGAGGAAAAAAAGCAAAGAGATAACATTGCAGTTCCAAAACATCGTATCAGGTATTAGTACAAAATATCGTCATCGAAAATAAAGCAGTTCAAAAACTTCGCAGTTTAAAAATATTGTGGTAAAAAATAATGTACAAATCATCACATGACGATAACATTGCAGACGTGCAATTTTCAGGCTTTAAAAGTTGTAAATGCATATCCGCATAAATATTTGGAATCTAAAGAAATGTTAGCGACACTTTAAGAATAAACAAAAGCAAAAGAAGATATAATTTTCACCATAACTATATCAGATTAACAAATGTGGAAGAAAGTAATTTGATAATTAACTAAGCAATTTTTATAGAGGTAACCTCATGCAGTTATCTATTTATCTTCCTTTCTGTAAACATTTTTAGCTGTATTTTTCATGAAAAATTATGATTAAAACTTTATAAAAAAAGATTAATTTATTAATGAGCTTTGTAAATTAACTGTGTAAATTTAAAATTCTATTAAGTTGCATTAATTTTCTACTCAATTTCAATTTTCAAATGCTTAAGTTTTCTTCTTACTTTTTCAGTAAAAATTTATTAGGTCATTCAAAATATGAAATATAAAACTAAAAATATCCCTCTTTCCTTCTTGTGCTCCCACATCATTATGCAAAAATGCATTTAGAGCTTTCAAAACATGAAAATGAATGTGTGTGATGTTATCGTCATGCAATGATTTGTAGGTACTTTATTTTTTACCACGATATTTTCGATGACAATGATTTTAAGCTGCGAAGCTTTTGAACCGCTTTATTTTTGGAGACAATATTTTGTACCATGATGTTTTGGAACTGCGATGTTTCCTCTTTGTTTTATTTTCTCCCACAACGTTTTTGCCTTGCATTCTTTTCTATGTGGATTCACTGTGAAAAATTTTAGTATTTAAATATTGTTTTCCTTTCATTCTGTGCTTTAAAGTTTTTTGCAGGTATTAGTATAAGGTGTTAAATAGTTTTGATGGTTATTTTTGTCAGAAATACGATCTTAAGATAAATATTTCCGTAATAAAGCTGTTCCTGCAACATATTTTGAATTTTGTATTAATCATATTACATTTAAGTTATAATCTTATAGTTTGTCAGAGTTCTTTTTTTTTTTTAATTTTTCCATAGATGAATATGAAGAAAGATCCATGATAGAGCCTGCCTCTTATGATGATCCAAAATTAAAAGAATTAATAAACATTCTTATAGAATGGATAAATGATGAACTTGCTGGACATAGGATTATAGTTAAAGATATTGAAGAAGATTTGTATGATGGCCAAGTATTACAAAAGCTTTTGGGTAAAAATCTGTATATGTAAAATTTTAATAATGTTAATTGAAGTGCCAAAATATTAGAGCTTTACTTTAAGATTCTGAATAAGTTTCAACAGAAATGATTGCAGTTAAATAATAGATATACAGCAGAGAAGGTGCAAATCTTTGTAGTCTTTTTTTCAGTGGAAACAGGTATTGTGCATGCATTATTAATTAGGAAAATTCTGTGTTCTGATTCTTTAGCTTATTGTGGCTGCAAAGGTATTGTATGGATTTCTGTTGTATTCAGACCTTCCCTGCCTCCTGGCAGCAATTTCTCCCCCCCCCAGAAATTGTTTAAAAATTTATTGTGATTTTATATAGGACTATACTTAAAATAAATGAGTCAGTAATTCCAAAAATCTTTTGTGCTCCAGTTCAAAAAAAATGTTAGATCGGTTAGTTACACTGTCATGACAAGACCCATACAACTCTTGGTTACATTCCCTGAAATTTCAGCATCTTTCTAATTTCTGAGTTCTAAAAATATTATAATTTATGAACATATGATTTCTTTTGATAAAAACTATAAATTTGCTAATATTACAATGAATTAATTACTTAAATAAAAACTTTTAACTGCTGGATTTGATCTGGTGCCTCAAGGAACTTCATGTGGTATCATTGGGCTCATAGTGTTTGCCTGTGAAAGAGGAATTTATATAATATGAATGTTGTTAAATGTAAAATAAAATTTTGTTAAATGTTTCTGACCTGTTTTTGAAAAGTGTGTGCTCCTTGCTCACATGTGCATTTACTCCAAAGTCTTCTACAATTACAAAGAATTTTGGTGAAATCAGTAAAAGAAATTCTGTATTCTCCCCTTGTTATATCGCAAATTTATTTTAGTTTGATATAATTTACAAATACTGAATGTTAAAAAATATTTTTTGATATTGCCGAAAGAAGGTATTTGTCGATATTGCTTGTTCGATTACTTAGCACTTCCCTCACCTGGACTCGTGATAGTGAAAAAATTGATTCATTACGGTCTTTGTTAAATTCCATCTTTGTTTTAGACTTCGAACTGCAATGCATAGTATATTGGAATGTTAGAAATATTCAGTGGAACTAATAAGTTCCTGCTTTTCAAGCCTTGTAATTGGATTTAGTTTTGTCCTGCCTCATGTACAATTGGTGCAATTTTGGCAAGTTGTCTACCAACATTCATGGTTTGATGATAGTTAAATCTCACAGTTGATGGAATAATGCATAAGTATTTAGTATTCTGCAAGACCTTCGGTCCTAATATTTTTTAAAATTAATGAATCTGTTTTAGTGAACTTTGTCATACTGTGTTTTGTTTCACATTTAATTGCATACTATGATGGATGCAAATATGTGTCATTGTAACATTTGTAACAGGCAAAATAGGTTTATTTCATATGTAATTAATAAGCAATGAAAAATTTATAGCACACAAATATGAGGCAAAATGTCTCTTTCTTAGAAAAATTATTCAATATCTTCCTCGGTCATCTTCTTTACATTTCTTGAAAAAAGAAAATGTGTTAACACATGCCCTACGCGCAGCTTTTCTCGTGATGAAGGAAGTAGTTAAGTGAACCTTGTTAGGACTGCCATTGGTGAGTTATCACCAGCCTTGATAGCATATAAAAAGTGTTTATATAGATAAGGAAATACCAGTAAATTTTCTCTCGGAATAAAAATTAACTAATTATGTAAAAAGATCAGATGTGGTAGTTTTTGACTGACAGTGGCTGGGATTGATCTGAGAGCATCACATTAGTATCTGTATTGTATACCCATTAACCTAGTAGTGCATGCAAAACATTCCATGCATAAAGCATGAAATTGTAGAAAGTGCAGTTATGAGACCAAAACTAATATCATTGAACTTTTATAACCCAAATGGTATAATGGTAATTGTTATGGATTTGTTTTCTTCAGGAAGATCATAACACTTGATAAAATTTTTTTTGTATAGATGTTGAAGATTAGTTATTAAGAAAGATTATTTGGAACAAATAGTTTTCCTCATAAAGAAATGCTATCAAAATTAAGGAAAACAACATCTATAACGATCCTGATTGCAATTTTGTTTTAGTTGTTAAGAAAGATTAGTTGAAACAAATAGTTTTCCTTAGTAATCTTAGGGTAAAACAATAGTTGTAACAATCCTCATTGCAATTTCTTTTATGTTTATTTAAATCTAAACCAATCAATTTTAACGCACATTTTCTTATTGCATCATTGCTGCATTGATTGGGATGCTGGTTAATAGAGTCTTAATGCACATGTTGTAGTGCCCAGTTTTGAATTCCATGCAAGGGAGGGGTGTTTGTAATTGTACTGCCTTAAGAAAATCTGTTGATCCGAAAGTGCTATTAAGAAGTTACCATCAGAAGAGGGATATATAATTCTTAGATTCCATCTCAGAGAGTAGTTTGGTCAAAATTTGTATACTTTTCTTAAATTAAGTACTCTAATAAAACTCTAACCTATTAAAATTGATTTTCAGATCTACATGTTGTGTACTTGAATGATATTAAAAGTTATTTTCTTATTGCATATATTATCACAGAATTAAATGAACAATGCTCAAAACCTCTTGTAATATTTCTGTGCTTTATATTTTCTGATTTCTTGTAGAAAAATTAATGGATGTGAAACTAGATGTTGTTGAAGTTACTCAGTCTGAAGAAGGTCAAAAACTGAAATTAAGAAAAGTTCTGGAGGCAGCAAACAGTGTGCTGGGTATTTCACCCTGGAATCAGCCAAAATGGAATGTTGAAAGTAAATATATCACTGTAATATAATTTTAAGAATTACATGTTTTTAATTTTATGTAAAATTTGTAGATTTTTGCATTCTAAACTTTATTTAACTGCTTTTTTATTCATTTTTATCGTATGGAAAAAGTTCATTATGCCCTTTAAGGTATTTTTAATCTAACATTTTAGCCTAAGATTCTTAAAAATATATAATTTCTATGCAGGGTTATCAAGTTTAATTCTGTTACTAAAACATATATCAGTTACCAAAAAATGCCAACAGTTATTTTGATTTTTTGTATGTGGAATTTTTTTCCCGCAAGAACATTGTTGTGCATAAAATGGTATGGTTTAAATATTTTAGAAAACTGGAATGTAATATTCCATTAATTCATTTTTATTGTTGGAAAATTGATGCACTTAGAATGTTTGCATAAAATCTGGGTGAACAAAGCCTATGTTTTAAATTTATTGTTTTACCTGAAACTCACATTTCTATATGTTTTGAGCCTTTTTATAGGTAATTTATTGTAGCATCAAATCTTTTAAATTAAACTTTATAATTTTTTATTTTATATCATTATTTATATATAGGGTGTTAAATGGTTTTTACTTGTAACGTTTACTGTGATTACCTAAAGACATTTGTGTGACAGAAAAAGTGAATTATCTTCACTTCCATAGCAACCATTACTAGACAATCTGTGAATGCAGTAAAAATGCTGTTCACAGCAGTGAGCTTCATTTGTGCTGAAGATAACCAATGAGATGGATGCATACACGAATCAGTAAAAGGGAGAAGCATGTACGGGGCTGGAGGGTAATGCAAGGAAAGCTGCACGATTGTACCAAGAGGATTTTCAAAACAAGATGTGTCCCAGATCTTGAAACCTTTCAGCAATTGCACCAATAACTGTGCAAAAGAAGGTTCAAGTTGCAGTGAGGATACCGAGCATAGAAGGAATGCTCCCATCTATAATGGAAAAATTTTGCATCATATGAGAGAGTGCACTCAGTGGAGCACGTGGACATCATTGCAAGCTGTTAATCATCAGATGCTGTATTTCATCAGATGGTGTGGTGAATACTTTGAGAGGAACAAATGCTATGTGCAGAGAGTTCAAGACCTGTCAAAATGGATTACATTCAAATACCGAAAATCCGCGTTGCCTCTCAAAATATAAGCATTCACTTTGCAGGTCCCGGAAACCACAACATTAAGTACGAAATATCGAAGAAAAAATACTTACCGAATAATGACATCATAATTATCGAATAATAATGAGTCATAACAGAAATACCAAATTATTGACATTAAAAAAGTTCTAAAAAATAAAAGTTTTCTCTCTCTAATTTCTGCATCGAGGTAAAAAAGCAGACGATTCACTCAACTCTTCAAGTTCACAATTCAGGTTGTATTTTCTGAGCTTTGTTATTTCACGAGGTTATTTAGTGCTGCCTTTTTTTTTATCCTGATATTTTGTGAATAAATTAAGAATATTTTAAATTTCAGCCCTTTTTAATACAATGACAGATAAGAAACTCTCTCATGATTTGACTGCTTGCAACATTGAAAAACGTAAACACGTTGCATTGACGGTAATGCAAAAAAGTGAAAATTCCACAAAAGATGGAAGCAGGTGCTACTCCTTGATTTATAGCAGAATGGTATGGAACTGTGACACAATTGTGTATGATATACGAAAAATAAAGAAAAGCTGTTGAAAATTTTACAGTAACATTGATTCTAGCACCAGAATCAGAAATCAGAAATATTTGCATGAGGCGAAATCGGCAAACCTCGATGCTGTGTACATATAATACAATGAATAATATAATCAATTTATATATGTAATAATAATTTAATGAATATAATAAATTATTGCAATAATGTATGTAATAATTTAATTAAATGTATCTAATATGCCTTATTTATTTTGCACTTTTATTCCGAATATTATGCTTTTTCTTTTCTGTCCTGAAATCCGCAAAATCCTAAAATCCGCACAACATCTGGTCCCAATCTTTGCAGATTTCTGAACTTGTACTGTATGTGCTACATGTTGTTATTTGCCATGTTGTTTTTCCAACGGACCACCGTGGATCCAGATTTTTCAGCATATGCGTTACTCACTGATGAATGCACATTCCAGTGACAGGAGATACCAAATATCCATAACTATCATGTCTGGGCAACTGACAATCCACACACCATGACTCCAGGGTTGTTCCATTGTGGTTTCTGAGTAAATGCTTGGGTTAAACATTGTGCACAATCATCTAATTGGTTCATACGTACTGTCAAGTCACCTGGCCAGATATTCATACCTTGTGTTTTTGCAAGAGTTGCTGCATGAACTATTGAACTCTGTTTCAGCAAACATCAGAAGACTCCTGTGGTTCCAACATGATGGGGCACCAAACCATTATGATGTGAATATACAAAACACATCTTATAACATGTGTTTGAAATGATGGATTGGTGTGGAGGCCCAGTCAACTGGCCAGCGCATTCATGCGATCTATCAAGTCTAGATTTTTTCCTCTGGGGTTACTTGAGTTTTATCATCTTTGATGGAAATCTCATCAATTCCGATGAAGAAGTTGTTGGCCAGATATCTGTAATTGCTGGGACCATGCTTGATGTATTCACCAATGTACAGCAGTCAATCCATCCATGGTGTTAAGCCAGCATTACAGTTGGAAGGTGCCATTTTGAGCAGCTGTGATTGGGGATTTTATTTCATTTTGTTCACTGAAACTTTTTTTTTTAAAATAAAATTTTCAGTTTTTGTTGTTGTCTTGTCCATATTACATGGAACGATGGTTGCCAGAGCTTGCTCCGAAAAGAGGTTGGACTTTTATTTTCCACCCCCAATTTTGAGGTAGAGCACTCCTTGGGTCTCCCACCCCTCTCCTCTCCCATCAATCTACATGAGAGGACTTTCAGCTCACCGCGTATTTAGAGTGCCACCATGCTGTACCGAAACATTTACAAACATCCATGTCTTCTCTGGGATTCAAACCCGGGCTCTTCAGTACCATGGTAGGCTCCCGTAACCACCATACCATCTGGATGACTTAAATTTCAATGGTGTTCTTTTATTCCATTTTACTCGACATCTTTCTCATTATTTCATGATGCAAGATTTCATCATTCATGATACAGGAAACAAATCAGGAAAGTACAGTCAACTCCTGGTTTATCAGGGTGATACCAGGAACAACATCCTGGTTTAATCACTATTAATCAGAGGGCAGTTAGAAAAAAGCACAGGAAAAAGAAATTATCCTTGTTATAATTAATAGAAAAATAACTTATTATTAATATATGTACATTTTCAAACAGTTTAATTGAAAGAATAAATTCATTTAATTGCTGTTAGAAAATATTTTATTGTTTTCATTACATAATTGATACCCCACATAGTCCAATTTATTAGACATTAAATTAGTATATTTACAGGAAATTGATATTATTCTTATTGGCCATTAAATAGTGTGCTGTGCCTACACTAAACTGATTATTAATTATAAATTAGAAAATTCCTTTGCTTAACTGGCAATGTATAATATCAAGAAAACAGAATTCATTCCACATGTGAAATACTTCATTTATTTATATACATAAAATAGTGTGGGAAATTAATGCTTGAAACAATGCAGAATTTTTGAGACATCCTAGCAAAGTTTATCAATTACTTTAATACAAGTAGAATTTACTGGAATGTTGATATGCAAAGTTTGATTTGCATATCAACATTCCAGTAACATTCTGATAGTCCAGTTTCATGAATATGCTGTGGATGACATAGTTATTACAGTCCACATGTCCTTATCTATTACCATAATTTGAACTTGCACCTGAAAAATTTTCAGTAATTCATTATTATGGTTCAAATTAGTATATAATTGTTATTATTGTAAAACGAGGATTATTTTGACTTGTGTGATGTACATATGTTATATGGTGATTACAAAGAATATGGCTACAACCTGACACACATGCATGGCTTCACCTCTTAGAACGTAAAGAAAAAAAAAAAAAAAAAAAAAAAAACTCTCATCATTGCAGGATTACTATCCTAGATCTGAACATAGCTTGCTGTCAGGGAAAAAAAAAAAAAAATTACTATATTCTTACAGCAGAACTTTATCCATCAAGTGTTTTTATAGGGAAAGGATCCAGATGTTCATGGCAAGAAAGAGAGATATCACAAGGTTGTTTTCCTTCACACTTTGCATCACGTTTGAAAGAAAAACTGATTAGATCAGAAAAACCTCATGGCTAAAATGATAACAATGAAAATATAGAATGTGATGCTTGTTACAGTTACATAAATTAAATTAATGTTAAAAATTAAAAAATTCAAACCAACAAATTGTTTACATATTCAATCAGTTTGAAACAACAAATAACAGCTGCACATTTGATTTATTTTGCAGTTGAGTAATTTACTTTAATAAGTGATTCAAACAATGCTTATAATTACATGGAGTGAAATTACGTACTCTTGTTAGACAGAAACAACTTCCAAATACTCTGACATCATTTGCTGTCACATTTTTATACCACATGTTTTCTATTCCCTTTTCTGTTCTCTGTTGATAGTTTTGTTTTATGCTGTTGACTTGTGGTAGCAATTTTTCCATTATTCTGTATTTTTTAACAGTGCTAACATAATTTACCTGTGATTGGTTGGGAATTGGTGGCATGTGATGTTTAAGTATTATCACATTCCATTTTTCTCTGTACTATTTAATCATGCTATTTCATGACTCTTATTTCAAATTCCATTGGCTCAAATTATTTATCAATGGACAAAACTTCTTTCAATTATAATGCAACCTATGGTGTGATATGAATGGTTCTATACTGTAACAATGCAGTATTTCTCCTCTTGTTATTATTTTATGTATTATTCTGAGGTGATATTTCAGAAGTTCTTTGAACTTGTGTTGTGTTATTCACTGCATCTAAAAACTATTAGAAACTGTAATACTGGGGTTTTCGTATTGTTTGTACTTTTCTATTTTAATGAGAGAATATTTATTTGTATTTGAAATTGTAAAAAATACTGCATTACTTATATAAGAATCCCAAACACTTTCATAACATTCTAATGTAGCATATAATACAATAATTTTTAAGACTTATAATATTACTATGGGCATAAATACTCAGGTGATGTATATTAGAAAACTTTTAAAGATAGTAATTTAGAAAATACCTTTTCCTCTTTACAGGTATTCATTCCAAAAATGTTGTTGCTATTCTTCATTTATTAGTTTCTTTGGCTCGACATTTTAGAGCACCTATTCGTCTTCCTGAAAATGTTGTTGTAAATGTTGTAGTAGTCCAGGTAAGTGTGGCATATAGTAATATTTTAGAATAGTCATTTAATCATGATATAATGTTTTTGTAATTTTATTAAAATAAAATAAAAATCAGATATGGATACCATATGAATGGTATTGTATGGCCTATTAAATTACAGCCTTTTTTTTTTTTTCCTGCATTTCATTTCAACTTATTTCCTCAAATTTCATTGATATATTCCTTGTTTGGTTAATTCAATTCTCACTTTGTGAGAAAACAAAAATACATAAAAACTCAAAAAAATCTTCATTAAAAATTGTAAAATACAGAAAAGCATAAACTACCAAATACAATTAAAACAGTTAAAAAAAACAATTTTTAAAATTAAAATTAGAGTTTCTATGCAAAAACAAGCAATTTGGCCAGCACGCAAGAGGGCAGATTTTTTGGTGCACAAATCTGAAAGTTTATTTTTGGTCCTAATCGGCAAAAAGACATTGAAGGTTCAGAAACTGACTTAATTCACTTTTCTACTGAATTTCAAAATGTAAACAGATGGTGGTTTGTTAGGCTTAACCCGAAACTTAAACTTTTAAATTGTATATAATTCTATAACTGTTGCATGCAGATTAACTAAAGGTATGAAAACGTTCATGAGAACATAAAAACCACATAATTCAATCACTTTTAAAGCAAAAAATGTGTAATTTACCAACATATATAAGAATAAAATACTAAGCTCACCGAGCCAGGTAACAGAGTAGGAATATATATAAATCTGTATATAAATTAAATTTATTTAATTAAATTCAATTTATTCTTATGAAACAAAAATATACATAATTTATATACGATTGTTTAAAGCCGATTGCAGTGAAAAGGGAGGTGCATAACTACATGTTATAGCAGTCCCATATACAAAATTTCAGTGCTCTACAGCTACTCATTCTTTAGTTATATGGGATACCTACATATGTTTGTACGTACAGATGTCAAGGAAAAAAATCTCTTCTAAATCCATTTTACAATCTGTTTTGTCAAAAACAGTCTTTTATTCTGTCCATAGGTACAGATGTCATGCAAAAACATCGTTGAAAGGTTTTGAGAGGGTTGAAATAGATATTTTCGTTGAAATACAACACCCAAAAATTTTCCCGATTTACAATGCTTCCTTTGCTTTGCATAAGAAAATAAAAATAGTGACATCCTATTATCTTGCCTGTATCTTTAGGATTTTGAGCTTTGTTCATAATTTGAATTTGAAATGTTTAAGAAATTTAAGATATTTCACACACATACTCTTTTAGTGCTATGGTTAGTGTACAGAACCTGGTTATTTGCAGATTTCATGTTTTGGAGAGGGTGTATTTTATTTTATTTCTTGCTTCTGAAGCTCTAGTGATTCTTTAATAGCTTTGTCTTGCTTAGAAGAAGATTTAAAAAAGTGTTAACTTCTGAATTATAACAAAACTTTTTGCTTTAACAGCATAATGTTTTGTTCCAAATTCTAGGCACAAAATCTATTTTGTTACTAAGCAGAAATGAAGATACAGTTGATCTAAAATTTTGTGTTTTGTTTTCAGCAAAATTGTGATATGGAGACGTTATTTAGCAAGTTTGATTTTTAAGAAAGAAACAGTTTTAGTCATGATTTAAATTAATATATAAGTTACAGCCATTCTTTTGCACTTCAAGAATTGACCAGTCAGTTTAGTCAAGACCAGAAATATACGACAATTTAAGCGTTATTTTGTCTAAATTGGGTTAAGAGAAACTGCTGAAGGTGAGAAATTACCTTTATTTAATATTTAATGATTTTTCAAAAAAAAAAAAAAAAAAAAAATCTTGGCAGATGAAAGAGTATTTCCCATTTAATAGTATAACTTCTAAAACGTATCTAATTATCATAAGTATATCATTAAAAATTGGTACTTTCCTGTTAATGAGGTGCCATATAGCTGCCTAGATCTGCAGGATAACACCTCCCAACTAATAGTAACTAGCTCACTAAAGCTAGTTATTTTTAACTAGAAGAAATATTCCTTCTATGTGCAGACATTGTTTTTTTCAGTGTATCTGTCCTATACCAAATTGAAGTTGCTTTTTTTGTGTAATTTAAAAGTTTACAATGCCATGTTTCACTTCCAGTTTAATTTTTTGCAGTCAACCAGCAGTTTGAAGAAATTTCTTACAGTTATGTTGTTTGCTTTTGACTAAAGTTTTATTGTTCTTGAGTAGGAGGGACCTTTGTTCTGACCACCCTCAAAATTTATAAAGTATTATTCAAATCTGTGTTAAATTAAGTTGGCTTTTTTGTCAAGTTTTAATTGCTTTAAAGTATGTCATATATGCATATAAATTTATAAATAATTTGTGATTTAAAATTTAATTTACAAAACACACTCTTTTGCAAAATAATCGAAGCACAAAGAAGGACTTTTGCGATCATGACGAAATTCGGTATGCAAAAAGATCTTGATCGAACATGCAAATGATCAAAATTTCAAGGCAAATGAACAGGAATTGTGATCATAGCGCACATTTCTAGTGCGCAATTCACAAAGTATAAAACCAGTAACAGACAACTAAACTACTTCGAACGTGGTCGCATTGTAGGATTGCGTAAAGCTGGCTGGTCATAGTGAGCAATAGGCCGCCACATGCAGCATACAGACACTGCTGTGCAAAGATGTTGGTAGCAATGGTTGCTACAAGGAAATTGCTAACAAAGTGAAGGCTGTGGAAGGCCAAGGAACACAAATGCGAGGCAAGATAGGATGACAGTTCGCCAGGCTCGAACCTCCTCAATGGTATCATTGTCGACTATTCAATGCACTACAGCAACGTCTACACCTCTCAGGGTACCATTCACTATCTCACGGCGTTTATCTGAGGTGGGGTTACGCTCACAGAGGCCTGAAAGGCATTTGCCTTTGACCCCACAACATCGGAGGACTAGTCTGGAGCAGTGTCGCAGCTGATCATCATGGCTGCCGTCAGACTGATATTGTATATTGTTCAGCAATGAATCCCGCTTCACTCTTGAAGCAGATGACCACCGTGTTCGTGTGTGGAGAGGATGGGGCCAGCGGTCCCAATCAGCCTTTGTTTTACAAAGGCATATAGCCGTAACCCCTAGTGGGATGGTGTGGGGTGCTATTTCTTATGACAGCAGGTTGTCTTTAGTCATCCCCGTGCATTTTTAACAGCTCAACAATATGTTGATAACATTCTGCGGCCATTTGCATTACCCTTCATTACACGTCATCCTTGGGCCATTTTCCTACAAGATAATGCCAGATCACATACCGCTCGCATATCTCTGGACTGTCTCCATGCAACTGATAATATTCCTTGACCAGCAAGGTCACCAGACCATATCTGGTCACCAATCGATCCATATCTATGACATGTCAGGCTGCCAGATTTGGGCACCACAAAATATCGCAGATCTGGAGTGACAACTGGAATGCCTGGCAGAATGTATCGCAGGATGACATTAGGAACATCTACCACTCCTTGCCTTGACAATTCGAGCATGCATTGCCGCCAGGGCTGGTTCGACCAACTACTAATTTGAACAATGAGTGGGTGATTGTGAGCCGTAAACAGGTACTTATGACTTGGTTTTCTAATTTTTTTATTGTTTGTGTATGAGTTATACACATATTCAATTTCATCAAAAACAACCACTTCTTTTGTGGTGCGTCGATTTTTTTGCAAAAGAGTATATTTACATCATCAGCTATAAAAAAAATTATAGGTTATAAAAACTCTTTTAAATTTTATGTATGATTTTTGCTTTTAAATAATTATTTATTTCACAGACATAGAGAGCAGAAAAGTCTCGTTTGTTATAATATTTTATATGTAATATTTAGCTAGGAAAATACTTGATTGTAAAGGGTAAAATTTTATTCATGTGAAGAACTAATATTCTTCAGTGGCAAATTTTCATCAGTGTGACTTTTGTTGTATTCATTGATGATCTATCTTGAAACTGTAGCTGTCTGATTTCAACAATTTAATGTAAATAAATTGTTGAAATCAGACAGCTACAGTACTTGTGTGAAATGCATATTTGAATAGAATGTTCTCAATATTCTGATATTTTTTATATTTGTCAGTTTATATAATATAAACTTTGTAATTTACAAATGTGCAATGATTTTTAATATTTTCTAAATTAGAAGCGAGAAGGCATGCTTCACACTAGAACTGTAGCAGAGGAGCTGACATCTACTTATGAGTAAGTAATAATTTTTTTTGCAAAAGAATATTTTTTTCACATTTTCTTTTAATAAGAGAGTTTTGATTTTGTGGTTTGAAGTGTTTGAAATCAAGTGTAAATCTTTATAAACTGTACTATTTGTATTTGATTTAGCATAATTGATTTCTTGTATTTTCATTTACAGTGATCTTGGAATGAGAGTTGGTATGTATTTCTATTCATATTTAAATTTTTACTTAGCATTTTTAACTTTTTTTTTTGAAATATCAGTAATTTTATATGTTGACAAATAAATAATTTTTGCAATTTAAACAGAAAGAGATGCTTTTGACACACTTTTTGATCATGCTCCTGAGAAGCTACAAGTAGTGAAGAAAGTATGTATTTAGCATATTAGTTTTATTTGGATTGATTATATAAAGTTTTACTTATTTGGTGCGTGTATTTCTGTAAATATTTGCAACAACCATATATTTCTGTGTATAAGCTGAGAATTTTTGGAACATTTTCTAAAGCTAAATTATGAGGTCAGCTTATCTATGGAACCACTTCTCTAACAAAAAATATAGGTGTTTTTCTGTTATCCGGGCATAAGTGATAAATCGCCAAATAGAACAATTTTTTATTTCTTTAGTTAATGCAAAAAATTAATTTGAAATGAATGAGTTATTTGTTTTGTGAAAATTAGTTGTTACATTTTTGAAATTTTTTACATTGCTGGTTTGTTTTTTGAAATTTTTACATTTTCATTAAACTGAAAAATGTAATACTGATGAAATTTGTGGCTGCTGATACCTTTTCGGATTTTGGTATCTCCACTAATTCAAGACATTTTTTCCCCTTCACTCTAGGAAAATTGCCATGCAGCAATACTGTTATGAGAATTTTCAGCAAACATAATTATGAAATTATTATAATTATTATAATCTTAATCTAAAATTATTATAATTATTCTAATCTGAAATTTTAAAAATTTCACTTCCTGCGTATCCTTCAAAGTTATTGTCATTGCACTTTACAGCAATTTGAATGGATACCCCTTTTACCACCTTGGGAACATTTTTGCTTGTATTGCAACATGTTAGAATATGACAGGGCTTCTTTTTCACTTTGGCTTATGTATGGGTTTTGAATCTTCGGTAAATTTTTGAAAGAAAAATGCACTCTTGGCTTATACACAAATCTGCTTATATTCAGAAATATAGAATGTTTAATTGTATTATTCTAATATTTTGTGTTGTTTTATTCATTTATTTATTTAATTTTTGATTTAAGGATAATGATTTTAGGAATTACTTCTATATAATTAAATCTATGACTACATGTTTTATATATACATATTTTATTCTGGTGTACAATTGTAGATTATTTTTATTCTGACAATATTTAAGTTGTTAAACTAGCTCAACTAGAATGTTAGATATGGGCAGAAATGTTCCCAATTGGCCTTGGCAATATGTTTTATTGCCAAACGTGTGACTTTTGTCAAATTCTGACCAATTAAAAATTATTTGGTAAATTCTGTCAATTTTTAGTTCTAGAAGTTTTGGAAAAATTCATTTTTGAAGCTGTAGGAGGGATTTTTTATAAAACTTCCAGAAAAGATTATGCAACATCATATGAAAGCAGTTTTGACAACAAGCACTAGTCAGGTGTTACTCAGTTCTGACTCAGACTAAAAATTTCTTTTTGAGTGATATTGGTAATTTATAATATTTATTGTATGTTTAGGAGGATTGTTTAGTGTTCATGCTTCTTGAGTTGTGTAAAGCTATTTGTTTTGCTGTGAGTCAGTATTAATTGCAATAAATTGTCAGTTTCTTCCTTTCATCAGGAGTGATTATTTAAACAAAGATCCAAAAACCTGTAGCTCACAACAATTTGATGCACAGTTTTCTTGGCTGATTTGCCACTTTTTTGTGGAGGGGGGGGGCTTATATAGATATAAGTAATCTGTTGATCAAGTACTGCAGAAAATTAGGCAAAATGATTCCTTTTAAAGTAGTTTTATTTGCATAAGAAGATGAACTACAATTCACAGCAATGGAAATTCTTCATCAGAGTTAATTTTCATTCATATGTTATTTCTACTTAAATCTAATGATTTATTTTATACTTATGATTTATTTTATACTAATGATTTATTTTAATTCTGCATATTATTTGCTGTGTCATTACTCTACAAAGATCCTTGTCTTGCTTTAAAATTTTCAGTGTAAATTTCTAATCTTAGTCTTGCTTTAAAATTTTTCAGTGTAGTTTTTGTTTGTAAGAAATTAGATTAAAATAAATATGACTTTCATTATTACTTTCGGATTATCTCAAGATCTAAAGAGAGTTAATATTAAATAATAAAAAAACTGAGCATTTAAAACAAAGTGAAAATTATTTAAATAAGATGAAGTGAAATTTAAACCAAATAAAATGTAAAAAATTGAGAGCAGAATTAAATAAATATAAGGGGGGTAATCAGAACTTTAATTTTACAGTTTATTATCTTACCTTGACAGTTATTATTTTACCCTGACAGATAGTTGCTACATTTTCTGCAATATTAAGATGCTATTAAAATATTGGAAATTGTGAAGGAAACAATATTTTTCGATTAATTGGCATTTCCAATGAAGGTGCGGGCAATACAGAGTTGCTAATCATTTGCAGATTTTGTCTATGAAAAGCATTTATTTGGCTATTTTTATACTTACAGATATTATTCTCTTCATAAATAATAATAAAAAGTAGCATTTTATAAGAAACAAGACACTTTATTAGAAAAAATAAAAATAATTATATATATTGTTGATATTTAAATACATTTTTTTTTAGCTGATGGAAGCATTTAAACCCATGTTTACTCAAACCTCTCTGGTGTGCACAAAATTGTAGATTGGTTGTTATGTGTGTGTACTAGTCAAAAATATCTCAGTGCTACTGAATGTTGAAATTAATGGTGCAAATAATCAGAAAGTACAAATAAAACTTTAAGTTCGATCCATTTTATTTCAGCAGTAGGAATCTTTTAAATGTATTCATCTCTTTTGTGAACAAAGTGATAAATGAGGTCATTAAATGTTATGTATAAGTAATATGCATAATGACTTTGGGCGTGATGTGTATCTAATACTTTTGTCCGGAACATTATTTAAATATGAATAGTGAAAATCTTAATAAATGCTAAAATATTAGATCTCAGATTTATAGCATAGATAATAATTTGGAGAAAGGGGAATGAAAAGTTTCTAAAATTAATTAAAACATATGCTTGAAAAATACTTAAAAGCCTGAAGTTTCAGCACCTTTCAAGGGTCTTCCTGTAATGGATACAGAGATCACAGCATCTTTCCTGTTGCTTGATGCAATTTATGAAATCATAAACTGAGGTTTAGAAGAGAAATCTTAAATTTTAGAAAATGCTGAATTTCTTAATGGATTAAATTTCCAGCTGTTTTTATTGAAGGTCTGCAATATAAGTGAAACTAGTTTCTGCATTATCCATAGCTATAATAAATATTTCATTTAATGAGTTCTAGGAGATAGAGGGGCAGGAAGATCATTTTGGTTTTAATTAAAAAAAATCTGCTGATATTGAATATTGTGTTTGAATGCATTGCTGTGATTCTCTAAGGACAGTCGTTAATTCCTCCACCCCATTCCATAAGCTGAAGACTGATATAAATGCAGCTTGTTTTCAACTTAAATTTTTCCAACAATAATTAAATAGCATATAAAGTGATGTTTTATCTGTTTCCTATATTTCTTCATCAAACACATAATCATGATCATTTCAATTGTTATACGTTTTTTTTTTTTTTTTTTTTTTTTTTTTTTTTTTTTTTTTTTTTAAAGAAGAAATCTTCCTCTTTGTCATTAGTTGTTTCAGTTTGATTAAAAAAAAAAAAAAAATTGCAGAAGTATTTAGAGGGGTCAGAAAGGGTCCACGTTACAATATCCATTTGCGTCAGAATACTGTAAATTTGAGGATTCTTGAGGACCAAATTGTGCTGTATATCCATGCTTTGCTTCAGATATAAATCCTAAGCTGTTACATGCCTTTATGTCTATTGTGTTATTTAATTTTATAATTCAGCACTACCTTTTTACCACCAAATTCTTTTTAACACTTTGTAATTAGATTTTCTTATTTAGATTCAGCCTTGCTTTAGATTCAGTGTATTGTTTTTATACATATATATACAGAAAGAGGAGAGGTAATTTAATTTTGGATGTCTTGATTTTTTTCATATGCCTATTTTATAACTTTTATGGCGTACCACCTGCTCTAGCTTATTACCTAATGCCTAAAACAAAAGTAATTTAGACACTTCATGAGTTATCACCTCTAATACTACTTAACATAATATATAATTCAACTGCACAATCAACAAATAATCTTACTAGCCACTCCTAATGTGTTTTACAGACCTTAAAATGATGAAGTAACTAAAACAAGTTCTCTCATATAAAATTTACTAAGCAGGTTAATGCTATGATTCGAATATTTGCAACTGTGGCCTGAATATCAAACCTACAAGTGGCAGGAATGGAATAGATGTAATAGTCTTTAAATGACTTATTGAGCACAGTCAATATTTCTTGATATCTCCTTCATAAATGTTGCAGGTAACATAAACAGATAAGATGGGAGCTGCTATGGTTAAGATTAACCATCTGCTTTTAAACTAAATTGCATGCTATTCAATTTGCATAACTTTCTGGTCTGAGTAAATATTGTAAGGGACCAAAAAGGATAGGCTAGAATAGAATTCAACTGAAATTTTAACCATTAGTAAAACTTAATTGCCTTACTTTTAATATTGAAATGTTTTTTGAAGCTTGCATTTCAAGTTAACTTTAAATAATGTATGTTAATACTATGATAGTATTTTATTGAATTGTAAACTTTCAGTTAATAAAGGGGAAAAAAGAATTTTTCACATATTTGTGTGTGTATGGATATTATTTTAATAATCTATTATTTTCTGTATTTGTGAACTGTGTCAATGATTTAATATTTTGCTAGTTTATTTAAATTAATATTTCTTTTATAGTCACTGGTGACATTTGTAAACAAGCATTTAAATAAAATTAATCTTGAAGTAACAGATCTTGATACTCAGGTTTGTAAATATGTCTTTCATTTACTGCATTCCTTATCCTTTTAAACATTTATTCAATATTTTTAATTGTTGCATTAGTGTGATGATAAAATTAAGCATCGAGCAAAATTTATATTCATATCCCTATCATTAGCATTTTTAGTTATCTATCTATCTATCTATATATATATATATTAAATTAATGATTAAGTTAAATTCTTCATGTGTCTTTATTTGTCTACCATATTGCTCTTCTTTTCAGTTCCATGATGGCTTGTATTTAACACTTCTGATGGGCTTACTAGAAGGATACTTTGTACCATTGTATTCTTTTAACCTGACACCTACAACATTTGATCAAAAAGTGCATAATGTTGCATTTGCTTTTGAGCTTATGATGGATGCAGGATTACAGAAGCCCAGAGCAAGACCAGAAGGTAATTTCTAACATTTTTATTTATTACAGGCCTCTAATACTTTGATAGCAAAATCATCCCTTTCAGACTCAAAAGAATTTTAATGAACCAATTCATCAGCAAGTGATTCTATTTCATCCAAATTTACAGTTAAGAAACCAAATACCATTCGGGCCAGTTTCCATTTGCTTCTGCTGAAAAATATCGTTGGAATATGCGTATGTAACATGTTCAAAACATTCTAGAACTCGTTTCATAAGTGCACAATAGCTAAATATTTTTGCTTCTTGCAATTGTAAATTTATGTTTATTTCAATAGATCAGTTTATCACAGTAATAAATGAAACAGTTGACCTTTAGAAGTGTAGAAATAGTCTTCGAATTCCCCCCTCCCAAATGCAATAACCTTGGAGCTACATACGTGTAACAGCGAAAGTTTTGGTTATGAGATATGATAATGGACAGAAGTTAGTTTTGTAGCTAAGTAAAACAACATTACAGCTTATTTTTAAAATAAGAGAAGCCATGTATATGTGTTCCATTAGACTTAGTTGTGTTATGATGTATAATTTTGGAAACACAAACAAAAGGTATACAACTACACTTAGCTTGTATAAATTTCAGAATGTTTTGAAGTTTGAATTTAAGTAAAAAATGGTTTGAAAATTTCATGGGCTTCAGATGAAACTGAAAAACCATGTTTTCTGATGGCATGTCAAAACAAAGGAATGAGGTGAAAGTGAGAAAAATTTCAAAGAAAAAATTCAAAATGGCAGGAATTAAAAAATAACAATAATTGGTAGATTATTGAATCAGAATTTCAAAATAATAAAATATCAAACAAGGGATTAAATAGTAAATTAATACTTAAGGAAAAATAAAAATGGAAAGATCTCACTAACTTCTGGGATTGCATCCAGATAGCAAAATGACATGAGAAAGCAAACCATGAAAAAATGCTGTTTTATATATATATATATTTAATTTAAAAAGAAATCTAATTCAATTTTAAATATTATATTAAGGTGCTTAAAATTGGCAGATGTTAATTTACCATTATAATTGTAATAAACATCAGTACAAGGTACAAAATTTTTTATACATAATGGATTTCTTTCCTAGTTTTGCATGCATGAACAAATTAAGGGGGAATGAGCATTAGTGTACAAATCTCGCATTTTACTTACATCGCAGGTTTAATTTATGGCTAGGTGACGTTAGCTAGTCCATTCTTCAATATAGGTAAGGTTCAGTAAGTTTATGTAAAGTCTTATTATCTTACATTTAAAGATTTACTTGATTTCATTATTCTTTCTATAGTAATGTAGATTTTTTGAGCCTGTAGTATTTAAGGCTAGTTATAATTAAATAAGCATTTGAATATCTGGAATTGGAATTTTGTAGCTCTTGAGTATGATTTTTTTTAAAGCAAAGTGACCTGTATGTAACATGAGGATGGGGAGAGAAAAAGGAATATATATATATATATATATATATATATATCTGTGCAGAGAAGTTCTTTTTGTTATTAGAAATCTAACATGGGGAAAATATGCCAAAATTGTATGATTTCAGATGTTGGCTGACGGCATTCTTTATAATTATACAAGGTCATTTGAGAAGGTTTTGTATATCATAATATACAAAATATCATATATCATAGTCATTTGTATATCATAATATACAAAATATCATATATCATAGTCATTTGTATATCATAAGTAAATCTTAAGTTTTTATACGAAGGTAATTTGAAAGTGTCCATGGTTTAACTATAAGAGATGGATAAGATAATGTTGAGAAAGAAAAACTTTGCTCATTGGTAATGATGCCATTGTCCTAAACCAACCAGTTTGCATGAAGATGGTGACAGTCTGAAAAGAAGAGTGTACTGCAAACTGTGATTTGCAGAATTTAAGCATTTTAGAACTTTTCACTTTAATTTTTGGAAAACTTAAGGGTCATAATACCTATTACTAAATGCACCATTTATTTGCTGATGTTGCAGTTGTACCAGACGAGATCTAAGATACATGGATGGAAACAGAATTCCTATTTAATATCTGTAGGGTAATTAAGGGGGAATGTTGAAACTTACAAATATGTAGTAAACAAATCTGAACTTTTGTGTTTATTTTGCAGTATAAATTATTAAGCTAATATTTTTTTCTGATAATGCTTTCTAAAATTATATCTATCATTTTTTATAACAATGTATATTTTGTCCTTTTCCCTCCTCCCTAAGCATAATGGGGAACTTTTAATAGTGTAGTAAGGGTGACAAGTTCTAAATACAATAGAGCCATATTTATCCAAATGATTAGTTTATTGAATCTGCTAAAAGTTATTTGGGTGGATATTAAAGAAGATTCCTGGAAATATTTGAAATAATTACAAATATAATTAGTAAAATTCTTTGATTGCATTTTCCATGCTACTTGATAATTAATTTACAGATTCTTGTGACATTTCCTAATTGTTATACCTGTATTCATTTGCTGTAATTTGTCTTTTCCCATTTTGTTCCATTCTCCCCTTGTTTTGTCTTATCTGACCTGCTTCATTTTTTGGACTCTGATTGAAAAAAAGCAAAAAAATCAGTAACTAAACTGAGAGCAGAATTCAATAGTTGTTAAAAAAATGAAACAACTTGAGTATTACACTGGTGATCACAATTAAGGGATAATTAAAAAATATGCTCGCTAAGTTGATGTTTCAACCAATATCCACTTCTGTAATTATTTATGTTAAGTACAATTGGACACAAAATTGCACTTCTGCACATGTGTTAGCACCGGAAATATGTAAATAATTTGGTGATTGACAATATGGTACACGATGGACGCATGTTGGAATTCTGTTTTGTAGTATTGTTTAAAGTGAATGTGATTTCATAAGGTGATCAGTATTCAGTAGTTGTAGCTCAAAGACATGATTTAAGTGAAGGTCGAAAGTGGTGAATAATTGGTAGAATCAAGGTTGAATAGCCCTCAACATGTCATATAAGGAGTTTAGAACCACTTTTTAAGCACTGGATAAGTTGATAGACAACCTGGTCAAGGGCAAACAAGAGCAACAACTGCATCAGATCCTTTTCTGTCATCAGCTCAAAGAAACTGCAAACGATTACAAGAGATTTTGTTTTAGACTTTCAGGCTACCACAGGTTTTGAATTAACCATTCTACTGCTGCACGAAGGCTTAACGAGGTTGGACTGATGCAAGAAAACAAATGGTTTGAGTCCCACTAACTCCATTCCAGAGGGGCCCATTTAAACTGGTGCCATCGTCATGTTCAGGGGAGCCAAGACAACTGGGCCTGGATGTTGTTTACTGACAGGTCCAGATATAGTCTTAAACAGTGAATCTAGATATGTTTTGATCTGGAGAGAGGAATGAATAAGCAACTTGCTTTCCCTTGTCCATGGAATATTCGGTTTCTGCAACTGCAGTTTAATGGTGTGGGAGGAAGCATGATAAATGGCTGCATCGAGCTGCACTTCTTTCAAGGAGGTTCTTAACCACTTGGAGATATGTAGACAAGGTATTAGAACCCAGGTGTCAGAATACTTATAAAACAAAAGATATCACTTAAATGGATTGGCCACCTAACTCGCATGACATGAATCCAATTGAGCATCTGTAGAATGCCTTAGGATGCTGAATTTCAGCACAACAGATTTCCTCCCCAGACTTGTAAGAACTGAAAAGTGCTCTTTTAGAAGAGTAGCATGCAGTTCCACAAGACTTGATCAACACTTTGGTAAAGTCTGTGAAATTAAGATGTGAGATATGGATATCTGTCCGAGTTGACCATACACAGCATTAAAGAAATTTTTTTTCCACAAGAGGTGACTTAATTTTTCCATAAATTTTGTTTTAATTTCAATATTTCATGAATATGCAACTGCCAAACATTGTAATTTATATTAACTAATGCTTTTGTACAAATTTCTATTAATAATTTTTCATTAAGTATCGATTGCCTTTTTATTTTTGTCATTATCTTTTAATTTTGATGACCAGTATATAATGTGGGAAAATCAACAGTTATGGATATATGTTGCTGTTATTTTACATTTGTTTTTGCTGAAGAATGTAATTTGATCTAAAAGTAATTAAAGGTTAATAATAAATTTCTGTTTAATTTAATGTATTCAAGAATAAATTAATTAAATAATCAATTTCCATATCTTAAAAAGTGTTTACTTCAGAAATAGTTTCCAAAGCTACTCGAAAAATGACCAGATAGAAACGGGCCAAATTAAATCATAGGTAATCTAGCTGTTTAGAACAAATTTACATCAAAACATTAGGTATTATATTAACATCCTATTTAATATTACTACTATTACATTCATATTTTCTTATATATAATGGCACATTAAGAACATCAGATATCTGTATTAAATAGGACCATTTCAATTAAAAAAATGATCTGAATAATTGGATTGTTGCTTTTCAGGCAAAATACATAATTTATTATAAAGCAGGTGTGTGAGTTTTATTTTTATATTCGTTGTAGTTTGTTCAACAAGGATTAGATTTATTAATAAATTATGCCAAAATACATAAGTATATCTACCTGCTAAAAGAAAACTAGCTTTTATTCACATAACTCATATGGGGATCATGAAAACTCATGCCTCTAGCCTGTTTGCCTGTGTTCACTAGCCTTATTCAGTTATCTGCAGATGGGCAATTTTGTTTCAACAAAGATTATGTGATTATAACAAAGTAAAATATTTTCCTACGCATAATACCAAGCATGCCTTTTTCAACAAAACTAAACAATGAAATCGTTTTTAGTTAAAATGCAAATTAATGTTAAAAAAAAATACAAGAAATCCATAAAATTGCATTTTTGTTTATACAGATGCTAATCTTTCTACTTTTTAGTGTATTAAAATTGAAAAAATACTAATAACTGAAGATAAATTAACATTTATTATTATTTTACATTTTAATTATTCATGTTAAACAGTTTACTGTAAATTTAATTTTAATGGAAAATTTTAAAATGCATTGTCTTATGTTGCTGCAAAATTGAGGTTATGCTGAACTGTTTACTAGTGCTGGCACTGAAATGGATACTATATATTATTATTTAAATCATTGGGGGGGGGACGTAGAAATGTAAAATTTCATTTAACAAAAAATTGCAAATAAGCTGAATAAAAAGTAAGACGGTGAACAAATCAGTATGATCGTAAAACTCTCTAAACTTATGCTCACTAGAATTAAGTATGTGAAAAATAAAGCCAATTTAATTTTTAAATTGTATTTCGTCAAGAACAGCAGTTTATGATATTTCACGTTCTAACATTTTCTTTTTTCTTTTTTCAGATATTGTGAATATAGATCTGAAGTCAACATTAAGAGTCCTTTATGATTTGTTTACAAAGTACAAACATCTAAGTTAAACTTCCAAAATTTTCTGTTTTATGTAAAATTTTTATCTCCTAATACTGTTTTTAAACTAAACTGTTTACAGTTGTAAATATATTTTTGTAAAAGAAGCTACAGAGATCCCACGTGATACATTTGCATACATAATGTTAGAAAAGTGCAATTTGTTAAAAGTGTTGAGAAAGCACATGCAGTTTTTTAATGAACTAAAAATTATGCAGAACATGTTACTGTTTTAAAGAGCATTTACTCTCATTTTTTAGAATTAGCACACAATCTGTTCATTTAGTTTTCAAAATATTACTAATTTTATTTTTTTGCTTAGAAGTCTTATTTCGTTAACTTGAATTTTGTAATTTTATTGTATTAATAAAAACTATTTGTGAATTGTTGTAATATTATTCAGAAAGTCTTTTAAATTATTGATTTCCTCTTGCACATACAGAATCACTTTGTCTGTGAAATTTACTAAATATACGTGTTGTAACTTAATTTAAATGATAGATAGAAAATGAAACAACAAATTGAAAGAGTTGGTATTTAATTAAAAATATGCAGTACTTAAGCTAAAAATGTTTAAAATGCCGAAATAGCATTTAATTATAAACCATATTTATTTCAGTGATTAATAGTAATTATATCACCTCATGAATGCCTGTTATGCTTTTAATTGAAAAATGTAATAATGACCGTTTTACTTGTGATGCAAACATTAATCACTGAAAGGGACAATTTTTGGTTCTATAATACTTCCTAAATTTGTGAAGTCATAACCAACATCTTTTATAGGTATGGAAAAGTAATGTAAACTCATTTGTCTGAATTTTGCTCAAATTCAGATTGCACAGATTGCAAAGTACAAATAAATAATTTAATAATCTGGCTGTTTTAGTTAATAATTTTGCAAACATTTAAGAACTAATATTAACAAAACTAATTAAATGCATCAGTAAGAACCTTTTAAATGACTATTCTTTATCAAGGCATCTAATGTGAAATTAGATGCTCATAAATAGTAAAAATTATCAAGTGATATGAATGATAAAGGTTGTGACAGCCAGGGATAAATAGAAGGGCTAGGTCATTCCTTTGTTCGACTCCTCGCCGACGCGATCCTCATGGAGGGGGGGAACCAGAAGTAATCTGACGTGTCTATGTTGCACCTGCTCTGATTTCGCGCCTTTAACCCTTTAACTGTCAAGTTATTTTGATGATTTGGGTACACAAATTGTCAAATTTTTTTATTGGAAAAACCAAATGTAGCCGAAATAAACATCTCCCGATATATAATCGGGTATGACAATACGATGCACTCAAAAAAAAAATTACCCCGAGAAATACTCGGGCGTGACATTTTCGAACACCAGTGCTGTGCCCGAGATAATCTCGGGCATGACAGTTAAAAGGTTAAAACTGTAGTTTCATTCATTTGCGAGACGATTTTCTGGAGATCGCATATCCCAAATTAATGTTAATCATACATATTTGTTTTTCTAATAATGCAAATATTTAAAAATAATTTGTGTATATATATATATATATATATATATATATATAGTTTTAGTCAGTTTTCTTTTTAAATTCTATATTTAAAGTATCCTTTATGTAATATGGCTTCTTGTGCTGTAGCAACGTGCCGTAACACTTATAGAAATACGAAAGGAAGAGATATTGTATTTCATGCTTTCCCAAAGGATAATTTGCTTTTGACGAAAGAATGGATACATAAATGTCGAAGACAAAATTCTATTAATGTGAAAAACACAAGAATTTGCAGCGAATATTTTCTGTGCAGTGATTATGAAGATGACATGAGAAATCGCTTGCTTGGATTGCCGCAAAAGAAACTGTTGAAATGCAATGCTGTGCCGAAAGTAAATTTATCGTGTGCAGTAAACGAAATAACACAAAGAAATCGAAGACATTTGAAAAGAAAAGTAATGCAGAGTGCTTTTGAAAGACTACACGAATTAAGCCCAAAGAAAATTTATTTTGAGGCCAAGAACGATATTGAAGCTGACAATAATAAATCAAATGTGAATGATTTAGAAATAAAACTCGCAAGTGACAATGCCCTATGTGACAATATCCCTGAGTGCCCTAAGTGTAAAGTTAAACAAGAATGTATTGATAATTTGAAGAACAAAATAATATCCTTAGAAAATTGTAATAAAATATTAAAAAATAGAGAAAAGAAAAATTTTAGAATGTTTGCTCAGCGACAAAGAAGGTGGACGACATCTAAAAAGAAATTTGTATCGGAAATTCAGAAATTAAAATCCCAAACAGCTAAATTTAGGAAAAAACAGAACAGATCGGAGAATTTGGAAAAACGTCTAAAGCATATTTTTACAAAGACGCAGATTAACGCATTGCTAGAAAAGAAGGAAAAAATCAAGTGGACTAGTGAAGATATTTCACGTTGCATTGTCATAAGAGCTCTGTCATCTAAAAGCTACGATTTTTGGAAAGTAAAAATGGGAATTCCTTTACCTAGCACTAGCACATTAAAGAGATGGTGCACTAAATTTTCATGTAGTCCAGGAATTCAGAGTGATGTTCTTGCCGTAATGAAGGAAAGATGCCAATATTTGAATTCTGTAGAAAAAATATGCGTTCTCAGTTTCGACGAAATGCACATAGATTCTAAACTTTGCTATGACTCCTAAACTGGACCAAATTCTCGGTCCTTTTCAAAAAGTGCAGTTTGTTTTAATCAGAGGTCTCATTTCGCAGTGGAAACAACCAATATTTTTTGATTTTAACACTCCAATGAAGAAAGAACTTCTTTTTTCACTCATAAGACATATTCAATCATCTGGAGTAGAAGTAAAAGCAATAGTGTCTGATTTAGAAGGATCTACTACTTTGTGGAAAGAGTTACAGATTTCGATTAATAGTTCTCAGTTTCCAAACGAAAAAAATATGAATTTTTGCAGATTTAACGCACTGCCTCAAATTACTGAGAAACCACTTTTTAGATAAAGGATTTGTTTTAGAAGATGGAACTGTTTTAAATGTTGATATTATTAAAGAGGATTTAAATAAAGATTCAAGAGAAATTAAATTGTGTCACAAACTAAAACCAAATTATTTAATGGTCAAGGGAAACGAGAGACAAAAAGTCGCTCCAGGCGAAACATTTTATTTTCAAGAACTACAAGCAAAAGGTATACTCCACCTTCACAGGAGATAAAAAAGCATCCGACTTCTTTGAGTTAATCGACAATTTTTTCGATATTATGAATAGTACCGAAAAGCCATACCCATCCTTCAGATAAAATACTTAAAGGCAGCATTTGGATTAAATGAACATCATGAAAAACAAATTCAAGTTTTGGAATTAATGAAGAAAGTCATTGGTGGATTAAGAGTTCAGAGAAAAGCCAACATACTGCCTTTCCAAAAAGGAATAATAATTTCAATTAAACTTCTCTTTTTGGCCTACACCAGGAATTTGAAATCATCGTATGTTTGCTAAATATATTTTAACCTCTAGATTAACTCAGGATGCACTTGAAAAGTCTCTTTAGTCAGATTCGAAGGGTTTGGTAGGTTTAATGACCATCCATCACCTAGTGAAGTTATACGCCGCTTAAAGCAATTAATACTCGCTAATAAGCTGCCAAGATTTATCTTCAAAAGTATGCATGACTAAAGAAAGGCAGAAATATTGATTCATATTTAACATCCAGAATACTTGAAAGGGCTTTGAAAACTGAGGAGGAAGATGCTTTTCCATTAAATACTATTGATGATTTGGATTTGGATTTCATAGAGGAACCTTCTCCTATGCGGCTTGGGAATTAGAATTGAATTCCGACAGACAATTTTCGACCGCCGAAAAAGAAGCATTAACATATGTTGCAGGTTATATTGCCTATCATGTGCGAGACAAAAAACACCCATCATTGGGAACAATATCTAAAAATAGTGCTGATGAACCAATATTTAATTCAGAATGGATTAAATTTTATTGTCCTTAGGAGGTTTGACTACACCTTCCCATTCATAGATGAATACAGTTTACGAGTTCGAAAACATATTTTGTGCAGTTCATGGTACAACTTACTATAAAGGGAAGCATGTAATTGGCTTTTTAATTAATAAACTGGAGAAACATTATCCTGAAGTTAACTGAGAAGCAATTCGTTTATTTTGCAGAGTGCGAACTTTTATTAGAATACGTTTCTTAAATAGAAATGCATATGTTTTTTCCCAAAGAAAAGCAATCCAAAAGGCAAAAAAGTGGGATTGCTTCGAATGTGGCAGCCAATAAATAATATTTCAACAACTTGTAGTTGCATTGCGACTGTACAAGTAAGCATATATAATATGTTTTGATTTGAAATATTTCTAGCTGTCATTTTAGAAGTTAATAGCGTAAAGCATATTTTAAATGAGAACTAATTCTGTTAAGTTATTGTTACAGTATATTTTTATTGTATCCTCTGTTATTATTGATTCGATTTTGTGCTAGCTTAGCATTCTAGATAAAATATATATAAAGTATAACATTATTGTATTATTGTATACATTATAAACTATAACAAAGTAATTGGCATAAAAAGACCTGCCCCCTTAACCCCCACTTTTGAAAAATTAAAATTATTTTAGGTACTGTGAGTAAAGTTGTTTTGTCTAAATTAAGATAAGAATCTTACATGTATTTATTTAAATGAAATATTGATGTAAGCCTAAGTTACAAAATTATTTAAAAAAATATATGTTATTATATTGAATCGGGAGAAAAATATGCCAATGTAAAAATTTACAATTAGGCTGAAACTCAAACTTAGATTAGCAGAAATTTTGCCATATATAACCATACATGTTTAAAACTATGCCAATTTAAGGTTGTTTTCTTGATTAATTTTAAATAGCTGTTATTATAGTTATCTTAGAAGCAGTAGTACAGTTCTCTTAGTTAACATGCAGATAAAGAAATGATTAGAAACAAACAGGCATTTAAAGAAAAAAAAAAATCCCTGCAAATAAAAAAAGGAACTTTATGCTAAGTGTAGCGCACTTTATCTATTATTTTAAAATTGAGTAAGTACTATTAAATTTTGTAATGTTCAGTGTAAAATGCATACTGCAGTAACATTGTCTCTTCCAAATTATAGCTATCTTTCACACACAGCTCATTTTAAACGCTGGTTCTTCAAATTTAAAACGCTAATTTCTATGTTGTCAATTGCATCTCCGCGTTCAGTGGCATCATTGCTACGTCATCACTCCTCACTGCATGTTTCAGGGGAAAACACTCTATGAGTGATCCTTTCTCTTTAGTCCTGGTGACAGCATCAACAGTGTAAGCAAATGAAGAGAGTAGTCTGAAGCTCTTTCAACATCAGTATTATTTTAACAAATTGCATATCCAGTTG